CCTCTCTCCTCTCCCTCTCCAGGTTCCCTGGTCCAGGCAGCGCTGACTCAGTCGGACCCGAAGTCAATGAACCCGGGAGACACCGTGCAGATCACCTGCTCCGGGGGTAGCTACGCTTATGGCTGGTATCAGCAGAAGACCCCTGGTAGTGCCCCTGTCACCGTGATCTACTGGAACACCAAGAGACCCTCAGGCATCCCTTCACGATTCTCTGGTTCCTTGTCTGGCTCCACGAACACGTTAACCATCACTGGGGTCCAAGCCGAGGATGAGGCCGTCTATTACTGTGGGAGCGGGGACAGCAGCACTGATGCTGGTATAGTGACAGAGAGCAATGTGGAAGTGAGGGACAGGCCACAGCTCGAAATAAAGGCTTTCTACACTTCTCCTCCAGGTCTCAACAGGACTGTGGGGATGAGGCTGGTTTCTGGCCCCTCTGCATGACCACAGCTGTGAGTTTCCTCCCTTTCATGCCCCAGTGCCCTAGGGAGGTGTCTGGAGCTGGGCTGGGCTCAATTCATCATAGTCCGGGCCCAATCCCTTCTCCACCATTTGTGGTATTCAGCATCCCCTTTTCTGGCAGGAGTTCTTGTGAGGCTGTGGAGCTCTTGCAAGGTGCTCTAAGTTCAGGGCCGTCAGTGCCTCGGTGTTGTAAGAGCCTCCAGGTTTGGGTTTGTCCAGCTACTGTGGGGTGAGGGTTGTGTGTGGGGGGCACTCGCTGACCCCATTTTCTCCCCTCTCTCCTCTCTCTCTCCAGGTTCCCTGGTCCAGGCAGCGCTGACTCAGTCGGAGCCGCAGTCGGTGAACCTGGGAGGCACCGTGCAGATCACCTGCTCCAGGGGGTAGTGGCATCTACTGCTGGTTCCAGCAGAAGACCCCTGGCAGTGCCCCTGTCACTGTGATCTATGGCAACACCAACAGACCCTCGGGCATCCCTTCTCGATTCTCTGGTTCTGCATCTTGCTCCACGGGCACATTAACTATCACTGGGGTCCAAGCCGAGGACGAGGCCGTCTATTACTGTGGGAGCTACGAAAGCAGCTATGTTGGTATCACAGTGTCACAGTGCAATGGGGAAGTGATACAAAAACCTCCTGCCATCACAGGAGCAGCTGGGTCCCTACTGTCCCCTCAGATGATGGCACGGGTCCCCGTCTCATTGCTGCTCTTGCAGCTCTGTGCTGCAAGTGGCTGTGCCTGCTGTCCCTGGTCTGCCCTCCCACAGAACCCCAGGGTTGTGCTCATCCCTCAGGGATGGGATGGCCCCAGCAGCACCTTCCCTGCCCCAAACTGCAGGGCCTGGTACCCCTGTGCTCCCAGGCTGCTCCCTGGGACATGAAGGCTGTCCTAGGGCATCACTGCAGGGGCTCAACCTGCAGAAAACACCAAGAGACCACCACAATGTGTGGTTCACTAAAGAGCTAGGTCAAAGCTTCATCTTCAAAACATGACAGGAGATGTTTTATGTGGCCACTGTACGAGGCTGGAGGGGCAGCTCAGGGCTGGCAATGGGGAAGTGATACAAAAACCTTCTGCCATCACATGAGCAGCTGGCTCCCAGCTGTCCTCTTGCAGGGTGGCACAAGTCCCTGAACCAGCACTTCCCTTGGGGCCCAGTGCTGCAGGTGGCCGTGCCTGCTGTCCGTGCTCTGCCCTCCCACAAATCCCCAGGGTTTTGCCCTTCCCTCAGGGACGGGATGGCCCCAGCAGACCCATCCCTGCCCCATGCTGCAGGACCCAGCTGTTGCGAGTAGCCTCAGCTATGGCTGGTACCAGCACAAGACCTCTGGCACAGTCCCTATCTCCGTGATCTATACCAACACCAACAGTCCCTCGGGAATGCCTTCACGATTCTCTGGTTCCGCATCTGGCACCACAAACACGTTAACCATCACTGGGTCCAAGCCGAGGACGAGGCCCTCTATTTCTGTGGTGCCTGGGATGGCAGCACTGGGCACGGCGAGTCCCAGCAATGGGGAAGTGAGAGGCCAAGCTGCTGTGGTACCAGGGCCCCTCGGGTGCCTGCTGCTGCAGCTTGGGCCTGGTCGAGGGCCAGGAAATGCCCCCATGAGCTGGGCCTGCTGTGTGGCACGTGCCCCGTTCCTGCACAAGCCCTCTGTGCTGCCTGCAGGAGCCAGGGCAGAGGAGCAGCAGAGTAAGGGGGAAGCGCAGGTGCTGGGGCTGGGGAAAGCCCCAGACGGCTGGGGCTGGCGCTGAGCTGGAGATCGTCTCCTCCCACCCTGCTCCATGCTGGGCCGGCTGCTGCCGCCTGCCCAGGGCCTGTCCCGTCTTGGTGTGAAGGCCTCCAAGATGGAGGCTCGGCACTGTGGTGGTTTTACTCGAGCGGGCAGCCGAGCCCCAGCACAACCGCTGCCTCAGCCCCCCGCCCCTTCAAAGAGGAAGGGGGACAAATTACAACACAAAGAGCTCGAGGTTTGAGATGAGGATGATTTCACAGAATCATAGAATATCCCGAGTTGGAAGGGACCCGTGAGGATTTTCAAGTCCAACTCCTGGCACCGCACAGGTCTACCCAAAAGTTTAGACCATGTCATTAAGTGCACAGCCCAAACGCTTTTGAAATTCAGACAGGCTTGGTGCAGTGACTACGTCCCTGGGGAGCCTGCTGCAGTGTGCAACCACCCTCTCGGTGAAGAACCTCTTCCTGATGTCCAGCCTAAACTTCCCCTGCCTCAGCTTAACACCATTACAGCAGGTCCTATCACTGTTGTTTACAGAGAACAGGTCACCTGCCTCTGCACTCCTGCTCACGAGGAACTTGTAGACTGCGATGAGGTCCTCCCTCAGCCTCCTCTTCTGCAGGCTCAACAGGCCCAGCACCCTCAACTGCTCCTCATATGTCTTCCCCTCTAGGCCCTTCACCATCTTCGTTGCTCTCCTCTATACGCTCTCAAACACTTTAATGTCCTTCTTGTACTGTGGTGCCCAGAACTGCACGCAGTACCAGAGGTGAGGCTGCACCAGTGCAGAGTGGAGCAGGACAATCACCTCCCTCAACCGACTGGAGATGTTGTGCTTGATGCATCCCTGGATAGGGTTGGCCTTCCTGGCTGCCAGGAAGGGACACGTAGTGATAGGACAAGGGGTGATGGTGTTAAACTGATAGCAGGCAGATTTAGAGTAGATACCAGGAAGGAATTGTTCACTCAGTGGCAGTGAGGCTCTGCAACAGGCTGCCCAGAGAAGCTGTGGCTGCCCCATCGCTGAAGAGCCCAAGGCCAGGCTGGATGGGCCTTTGGGACACCCGGTGTGGTGGGAGGCGGCGTGCCCATGGCAGGGGGCTGGGGAAGGTGGGCGGTAAGGTCCCTTCCCACCCAAACCATGCGGTGATTCTGTGATTTCCCGTTCTTTGACCCATGCCCATTACCTCTCGTGCCAGTGCCTGTTGCCTCCGGGAAGCGCCTGGCTCCATTTCCTTGGTGCCCTGCAGGAGCGGTCCCTCAGCTAAGACACCTGCTGGCCTCTTGCTTTCGGGGCTGACAAACGCCAGCTGTCCCCATGCGAGCGGCGCTCTGAGCCTTTCGCCATCCTCGGGGCTCCTGCTAACGCAGCCGCGGCCGCTGGGGGCCTCCTTAACCCAAGGCACTTTGCTGGCCCCGGTGTGCTGGGGGTCCTGCCAGGCCCTGGGGCCTCTTCTGTTGAGCCGCTGCCACCTGCTCAGCCCCTGTGTGCCTGGGCAGGCACCGGCTGTGTTGGGGACAAGCAGCAGCGGCCACGGACATGTAAAGCTGTGTGAGGGGAAGATGGGCAATGGGGTGCTGAGGCCGGAGGTGTCTGCACCTCACAGCGGTGCTGTGGGAGCTGTGAGCGCTGCGTAGTACCCACAGTACCCGTAGTACCCATAGTACCCATAGTACCCGTAGTACCCGCCAGCCCCTGTGTCCCTGCTCTCCCTGGCTGCTTGGTTCCGTGAGTGCAGGGCCCCGTCTGAGGCAAGGGGCTGCGTGCGAGCGCTTTGCGCCTGGGTGCTGCCACGTGTCCCCAGCACGAGGCCGGGGACAACTCCCCTGTGCCTGCGGTGGAGGGGCCGGGCGGGGAGGAGGGGAGCGAGGCGCGGGACGTGGCCGAGAGCGCGGGGCCGCATTTGCATGGAGGGGCCGTGCTGCGGCCGGGCGGGGGTTTAAGAGGGAGTCGGGGTCCGCGGCACAGCCCCGTCGGCGTGGGGACGCACAGCTGGTGGGATCTCGCCATGGCCTGGGCCCCTCTCCTCCTCGCGGTGCTCGCCCACACCTCAGGTGCCCTGGACACACTCGCTGCACCCGGCCGGGCCCTTTGGGCTGCTGCGCGCTGAGGGCTGTGCGTGTGGGGCACTCGCTGACCCCGTTTTCTCCCCTCTCTCCTCTCCCTCTCCAGGTTCCCTGGTCCAGGCAGCGCTGACTCAGTCGGAGCCGCAGTCGGTGAATCCGGGAGGCACCGTGCAGATCACCTGCTCCGGGGGTGGCAGCTACTACGGCTGGTACCAGCAGAAGACCCCTGGCAGTGCCCCTGTCACTGTGATCTATGACAATACCAACAGACCCTCGGGCATCCCTTCTCGATTCTCTGGTTCGAAATCTGGCTCCACAGCCACATTAACCATCACTGGCGTCAAAGCCGAGGACGAGGCCGTCTATTACTGTGGTGCCTACGACAGCAGTGGTACTGGTGGCACAGTGTCACATTGCTATGGGGAAGTGATACAAAAACCTCCTGCCATCACAGGAGCAGCTGGCTCCCTGCTGTCCCCTCCGATTGTAACGCAGGTCTCCATCTCAGCACTTCTCTTGGGGCCCAGTGCTGCAGGTGGCCGTGCCTGCTGTCCCTGCTCTGCCCTCCCGCAAAGCCCTAGGGCTGTGCCCATCCCTCAGGGACAGGATGGCCCCAGCAGCCCCGTCCCTGCCCCATGCTGCAGGACCCAGCTGCTGGGAGTAGCAAGAGCTATGGCTGGTAATCCTACAAGACCCCTGCCACTGGCCCTGTCACCATGATCTGTGAGAACAGCAACAGACCCTCGGGCATCCTTTCACGATTCTCTGGTTCCATATCTGGCTCCACAGCGACGTTAACCATCACTGGGGTCCAAGCCGAGGATGAGGCCGTCTATTACTGTGGTGGCTACGACAGCAGCTGGAGTGCTGTACAGTGACAGTGAGTTACAGGATGTGGGAGTATCCAAAGCCCTAGGAAGGTTTTCTCTCCTTCCTGTTGGTTGTACAGAGCTGTTCAGTAGTCAGATTCTTATTCCCTCCCTATGTTCCTGACTCTTAACGTTCTCCCCATTGTTTCTTGTTGTATGTGAGGTGTGCCTTGTTCCTGTCCCTAAAACATGCATGGATTTATATTGTCCCCAGTCAAACTGCCTGCCGCTGTTGATGCCTCTATTGCTGCTGCCTCCAGCTCTCCTTGAAGTGGCCCTGGGACTCTGTCCATTGTCTGTGCGTGGGGCTGTGGGTCCCTGGGTGGGACCAAGATCTTTTGGCACTGGGACCATCCCCATCCTGCTGCTACATGGTGAGGGCTGTGCATGTGGGGCACTCGCTGAGCCCCGTTTTCACAGAATTACAGAATTCAATGGGTTGGAAGGGAACTTGAAAGATCATTGGGTCCAACCCCTCTCTCCTCTCCCTCTCCAGGTTCCCTGGTCCAGGCAGCGCTGACTCAGCCGGCCTCAAAGTTGGCAAACCTGGCAGGAACCGTGCAGATCACCTGCTCTGGAGATAGTGCTACCAGTGATGGCAAATATTGGTATGCCTGGTACCAGCAGAAAAACCCCGGCATTGACCCTGTCACCATGATCTGTGAGAACAGCTACAGACCCTCGGGCATCCCTTTACGATTCTCTGGTTCCTTGTCTGCCTCCACAGCCATGTTAACCATCACTGGGGTCCAAGCTGAGGACGAGGCCGTCTATTACTGTGGGAGCAGGGACAGCAGTGGTGTTGGTTTAGTGACAGAGGGAGATGTGGAAGTGAGCAACAGATGGTGCTAAAGACAAAGTTTTTCTGCCCTCTTCCCTCAAGGGGGCAGCTGTGGACTCTTCTCTTCCAGAGGTGTTGATCCCTTTCTTAGTACATTAAAAAGGTTTTGTGTGCAGGGCACTCGCTGAGCCCCATTTTCTCCCCTCTCTCCTCTCCCTCTCCAAGTTCCCTGGTCCAGGCCGCAATTACTCAGCCGGCCTCAAAGATGGTGAACCCAGGAGACAACGTGGACATCACCTGCTCAATAGGTAGCGCTGATAGTAATGGCAAATATTGGTATGCCTGGTACCAGCAGAAGACCCCTGGCACTGGCCCTGTCACCGTGATCTATAGCAATGACAAGAGACCCTCAGGCATCCCTTCACGATTCTCTGCTTCCACATCTGGCTCCACAAACACGTTAACCATCACTGGGGTCCAAGCTGAGGATGAGGCTGTCTATTACTGTGGTGGCTACAGTAGTGGTCTTAAATTGGCACAGTGACACAGCGCAGTGTGGAAGTGATACAAAAACCTCCTGCCATCTCTGGAGCAGCTGGCTCCCCACTGTCCCCTCAGATGGCACAGGTCCGCGACTCAGCAGTACCCTTGTGGCGTTGCCTGGTCTCTTTGCCCTACACTCCCGCAGAACCCCAGGACTCTGCCCATCCCTCAGGGATATGGGATGTCTGCAAGAGCTCCATCACAGCCCCAAGCTGCAGGGCCCAGGTACCCCGGTGCTCCCAGGCTGCTCCCGGGGCCCTGATGGCTGCCTCCCTGCCCAGCTACAGCCACTGCCCTGGGGCATCACTGCAGGGATTCAGCCTGCAGAAAGCACCAAGAGACCACAATGTGTGGATCGCTAAAGAGCCAGGTCAAAGCTTCACGTTCAGACCATGACAGGGGATGTTTTGTGTGGCTGCTGTACGAGGCTGCAGGGGCGTCTCAGGGCTGGCCGTTTTGTGCTCCATCATGCCCCACAAGGACAGACCCCTGAGCTGCTGCAGCACTGGCTGTGTTTGCCCAGTGCCACAGCTTTGGGCTCATGCTGGGTCTGTGCAGGATCTCCAGCGGGCCCCTGGGGGACCTGGGCAGCCCCTGGCCCTGGTCCCTGCCCCAGCCACGTCCCCAGGGCCAAAAGGACTGCCCAGGACCCTGCTCCTGTCCTCATCCTGCTCCCTAACCCCAGCACCGTTGGCGTGGGGACGTGCAGCTGGTGGGATTTCGCCATGGCCAACTCCTTGTCTGTGTGGTCCCCTTAGCCCCTCCATTACAGCTCTCCCCGGCTGTTTGGCCTCGTAGCCACAGGAGTTGGGGCGGGGGCTCCGTGTGCTCCACTTCTGGGCCTGGGTGCTGCCACGTGTCCCCAGCATGAGGCCGGGGACAACCCCCCTGTGCCTGCGGTGGAGGGGCCGGGCGGGGAGGAGGGGAGCGAGGCGCGGGACGTGGCCGAGAGCGCGGGGCCGCATTTGCATGGAGGGGCCGTGCTGCGGCCGGGCGGGGGTTTAAGAGGGAGTCGGGGTCCGCGGCACAGCCCCGTCGGCGTGGGGACGCGCAGCTGGTGGGATCTCGCCATGGCCTGGGCCCCTCTCCTCCTCGCGGTGCTCGCCCACACCTCAGGTGCCCTGGACACACTCGCTGCGCCCGGCCGGGCCCTTTGGGCAACGGGGCCCTGATCTCGTCCCACTGCTGCGCGCTCAGGGCTGTGTGTGTGGGGCACTCGCTAACCCCGTTTTCTCCCCTCTCTCCTCTCCCTCTCCAGGTTCCCTGGTCCAGGCAGCGCTGACTCAGTCGGAGCCGCAGTCGGTGAACCTGGGAGGCACCGTGCAGATCACCTGCTCCGGGGGTAGCGCTCACAGTGATGGGAAATATTATTATGGCTGGTTCCAGCAGAAGACCCCTGGCACTGCCCCTGTCACCGTGATCTATAGCAACAACAAGAGACCCTCGGACATCCCTTCACGATTCTCTGCGTCCACATCTGGCTCCACAAACACGTTAACCATCACTGGGGTCCGAGCCGAGGACGAGGCCGTCTATTACTGTGGGAGCTGGGACAGCAGTGCTAGTGCTGGCACAGTGACACAGTGCAATGGGGAAGTGATACAAAAACCTCCTGCCATCACAAGAGAAGCTGGCACCACGGTGTCCCTCAGATGATGGCAGATGTCCCCGTCTCATTGCTGCCCTTGCAGCTCTCTGCTGCAAGTGGCTGTAACTGCTCTCTCTGATCTGCTCTCCCACAGAACCCCAGGGTTCTGCAATTCCCTCAGGGATAGTATGGCCCTAGCAGCCCTGTCCCTGCCCCAAACTGCAGGGCCCAGGTACCCCAGTGCTCCCAGGCTGCTCCCCGGGCCCTGATAGCTACCTCCCTGCCCAGCTACAGCCACTGCCCTGGGGCATCACTGCAGGGATTCAGCCTGCAGAAAGCACCAAGAGACCACAGTGTGTGGATCGCTAAAGAGCCAGGTCAAAGCTTCACCTTCAGACCATGACAGGGGATGTTTTGTGTGGCTGCTGTACGAGGCTGCAGGGGCGTCTCAGGGCTGGCTGTTTTGTGCTCCATCATGCCCCACAAGGACAGACCCCTGAGCTGCTGCAGCACTGGCTGTGTTTGCCCAGTGCCACAGCTTTGGGCTCATGCTGGGTCTGTGCAGGATCTCCAGCGGGCCCCTGGGGGACCTGGGCAGCCCCTGGCCCTGGTCCCTGCCCCAGCCACGTCCCCAGGGCCAAAAGGACTGCCCAGGACCCTGCTCCTGTCCTCATCCTGCTCCCTAACCCCAGCACTGGGGCTACCTCTGGGTCTGAGGCTGAGGGCTCCTGCACATCACCGGTTCCTGAATGTCCTGTGTAGGGACATTTGCTGCATTCCTGTGAGCCTGCTGGGGCAGAGGGATAAGGGATCTGTGGGGGAAGTTAGAGGGGCATGGTGCAGTCCTGTTCCCATCCTTGTTCCCAGGACCTTGGTACACTGTGGGAGGGATGGGCAGAGCAGCACCAAGCACCCTGCAGCCCTGGGGGAGATCTGCATTTGCTAACAGCCCCACTCCCTGCCCCGCGTGCTGCTGCCCTTGCCTTCTGCATGTCAAGCTGCCCGGGGCTCTGGGGTGGCAGATAACAACCAGATGAGGAGCTAGGAAGCAAGCAAGCAGGGGCTCTGCTGCGGCCCTTTCCCAGCCCCCTGGCACAGGCTTTCCCCATGGCAGAGCCCAGTTTGGTGCCATCAGACCCTGTGGATGCTCCCCATGGCAGTTCTCTGGCAAGGATTAGTCCTTCCAGCCCAGCACGGGCACCGTCTCCTCGCCGTGTGGTCCCCTTAGCCCCTCCATTCCAGCTCTCCCCGGCTGTTTGGCCTCGTAGCCACGGGAGCTGGGGCGGGGGCTCCGTGTGCTCCACTTCTGGGCCTGGGTGCTGCCACGTGTCCCCAGCACGAGGCCGGGGACAACCCCCCTGTGCCTGCGGTGGAGGGATTGGGCGGGGAGGAGGGGAGCGAGGCGCGGGACGTGGCCGAGAGCGCGGGACCGCATTTGCATGGAGGGGCCGTGCTGCGGCCGGGCGGGGGTTTAAGAGGGAGTCGGGGTCCGCGGCACAGCCCCGTCGGCGTGGGGACGCGCAGCTGGTGGGATCTCGCCATGGCCTGGGCCCCTCTCCTCCTCGCGGTGCTCGCCCACACCTCAGGTGCCCTGGACACACTCGCTGCGCCCGGCCGGGCCCTTTGGGCAACGGGGCCCTGGACTCGTTCCACTGCTGCGCACTCAGGGCTGTGCGTGTGGGGCACTCGCTGACTCCATTTTCTCCCCTTTCTCCTCTCCCTCTCCAGGTTCCCTGGTCCAGGCAGCACTGACTCAGTCGGAGCCGCAGTCGGTGAATCCGGGAGGCACCGTGCAGATCACCTGCTCCGGGGGTAGTGGCAGCTATGGCTGGTTCCAGCAGAAGACCCCTGGCAGTGCCCCTGTCACTGTGATCTATGGCAACACCAACAGACCCTCGGGCATCCCTTCTCGATTCTCTGCTTCCACATCTGGCTCCGTGTCAACGTTAACCATCACTGGGGTCCAAGCCGAGGACGAGGCCGTCTATTACTGTGGGAGCTACGAAGGCAGCTATGTTGGTGTCACAGTGATACAGAGCAATGGGGAAGTGATACAAAAACCTCCTGCCATCACAGGA